CATCAACAATAACGGAAATGAAGCAGATTAAATTGGTCTAAATTTAAAGAAGAACATATCAGGTTGGATTTCTGCAGCAAATTAATGTTTTCTTTTTAATCCAAAAAAGTTCAATCTGGTCCTCTGGACATTCAAAAAAACAAAACAAAGCAAATCAACAAAAAAATGTAGAAGAAGAGAGACTGAGGAAGTCTCTCGGACGAGAGACGAAACGTTTCTACATTTTTTTGTTGATTTGCTTTGTTTTGTTTTTTTGAATGTCCAGAGGACCAGATTGAACTTTTTTGGATTTTTCTACCTGGATTATTGAGCATGCATCAGGATGTTTTATTTTTAAATTCACATACAACCAGTACACCGATGTTCCCCTTCACTCATGGAGGGGTTTGGATAGTTAATATTTGTAGTTTTCAAGATGAGTGTTTTTCTGGGCTGGAATTGAACAAGGAATATAAATAAACCTTAATGTTTTTGGTGCAAGATATTCAAAATGGTAGGAGTTACAGTGAGGAGAAGGACAAAGGAAGGTTTTTATTTTGCTTGCCTGAGGAGGCGCAGAGTGATGGATCCTAACAAGAGGGAGCCATTTCATCCATGACCAGATGCAATGGCGGAGCCATGGGATAGACACTGGTAAATGGACTGTGCTTGTACAGTATGTAGAATAGCATAAACGTATTGTTGCTGCACAGCCATAACAATGAAATTAAATATGCCTCAAATGACAATGTATTAAAAAAAGACAACATCATTGGTACAATGACCTTGAGCACAAGGACATGTACTGTCTTGTGTTGCAACACAACAATTCAGTGCAGACATCAAAGACAAAAGAAACAGTCCTAAAAACAGACATACTGGTCAGACCAATAAAGGTGAGGTGGTGGAAGTAGACTTAATATATTGTTCATCCCAGCAGAGATCAAGCATATTGCACTAGAGCAGTCCTTCTCAAATAGTGGGGCGCGCCCCCCTGGGGGGGCCGGGGGCAATGCCAGGGGGGGGTGCATGTGACCCTAGAAAACATGCTTTTTTGCCGTACGGAGTAGTTTTTTTTTGTTTCACCATTTTCGTTCTGTCACGTGCGTTCCTAATAATAAAGTTATGAACAAATATGGCTGCCTTGTGGTTTTGGGAGCCATGCATGACCCGTGTCTCTCTCCTCTGCTGCTGACGTGATAAATAAACTCCGACCGTCACCTCCTCCGTCCTCCGCTGCTGTTTTCATGTCCACGCGCTCTGGACGTCACTCACAGCGTGCATGCAACAAAGAGTAAACTCAAGCGAGAGCAACACCTGCCCCTCTTTCCTCTTTTGCGTTGACCAAATGTTTTAGTTTTATTGATGAGTTTGTCAAAGCGCAATTTACAGAAGGAATGTTTAATAAATGTTAGGACTCTATTCTTTGCTAACAAAATAAATTCACCTCCTCAGTTAAGCTGCTGTTTTTTTGATGATCTGGACGTTTGTCACCCACAGCACGCAGGTGACAAAGAGTAACTCAAAGCAAGAGGGTTACCTGCTCCTCTTTCTTCTTTCATGCTGACAATTTTTTTTTGTTTTATCGATGAGTGTGCTCTTTGATCCCGACTTCCTCATTTTGATTATTAAAAAAATCAGCATAAATTGTTTTATTCATTTTTGTTTTGTAGGTCAAAGTGTTTTGTATAACACTCCTGAGTTAAAATGTTGCTGATCAATTTGAATTTATTATTATTTTTTGATTATATTTAATTTTATTTTTCAGTATCAAATAGTACAAAATGTTTACAGTTTAAAAAGTATATATATTTTTTCAGGCAAATTGATAAACACTAAAAAAGCAATGATAATTCTTCCTTGTAAGTTGATCTATATTTAAAAAAGTTCAATCTGGTCCTCTGGACATTCAAAATAACAAAAAAACAAAACAAAGCAAATCAACAAAAAATGTAGAAACATTTCGTCTCTCATCCTGAGGACTTCCTCAGTCTGAGGTGCTGTATTCAGCTCAGTCTCTTAAATAGCACCTTCTCAGCGTGGATCAACCAGTTTTGCTGCTGACAACCAGAACCAGCTGATCACATGCTCAAGAAGGACCATCAGCCTAACAATGGATCATTAGCACACTGATGGCTGTTTACTGTTCACAGAGGGCTGAGTGATACTAGCAATCACAGCATTGTAAGAGGGGGACAATTGAACCCGGAGGCCTCCACCCCTGTTTAACGATGGACGGTTTCTTTTCACAAAGATGGCCTCCTTTACTCCTCTCTCAAACCATTGTTCCTCTCTATCCAGGATGTGAACATCTTCATCCCTGAAAGAGTGACCGCTGGCCTGGAGATGAGTGTAGACCGCAGAGTCCTGGCCTGTTGATGTTGATCTTCTGTGCTGGGCCATCCTTTTGGCCAGTGGCTGTTTAGTTTCCCCGATGTAAGACTGATCACCCTCCTGACACTGAACAACATACACAATATTATTCTGTTTGTGCCGGGGGACTGGATCTTTGGGATGAACCAGTCTTTAATGTATTTTGGGGTTTAAAAGCCACTGGGACGTTATGTTTAGAAAATAAACGTCTCAGTTTCTCTGATACTCCCTCAACATATGGAATGACCACTGGTCTGGGTCTGGGTTCCTCCTTTTCACCTGTTGGCTGACTGGAGTCCTGTTTGGGTTTCTTCTCTGCTTTCAGGAAGGCCCAGTTAGGATATCCACATTGCTCTAGAGCCTGTTTTGTGTAGGATTTTTCCTTCTGCCTGGCTCCTGAGCTAGTGGGGACGCTGTCTGCTCTGTGGTACAGAGTCCTGATGACTCCTAACTTGTGCTCCAAAGGGTGATGGGAGTCAAACTGCAAATACTGGTCTGTGTGGGTGGGTTTGCGGTACACCTCAGTTTGCAAATGTCCTCTATCAGAGACTGAGACCTCACAGTCCAAGAAAGCCAACTTGCCATTTTTTTCATCTTCTCGTGTGAACTTGATGTATTTATCCACAGAGTTGATGTGGTCAGTAAAATGTTGGACTTCCTGAGATTTAATTTTAACCCAGGTGTCGTCAACATACCTGAACCAATGACTTGGTGGTGTCCCTGAAAAGGACGTCAAGGCTCTCTTTTCTACCTCCTCCATGTACAGGTTGGCAACAATAGGAGAAACTGGAGACCCCATAGCACACCCATGTTTCTGCCTATAATATTGCTCCCCATATGTGAAGTAGGTTGACTGCAGGCACAGTTTCAAGAGTTGACACAGTTGTTCTGTGGAAAGCGTGGTCCTGCTGCTCAGAGTGGTGTCTGATTTTAATTTTAAACTGACCACCTCTACTGCATCATCAACAGGAATGCACGTAAAGAGTGATGTGACATCAAAAGAGACCATTGTTAAATCAGTCTCCATGATGACATCCCTCACCTTATCCACAAAGTCCATGGTGTTCTGTATGTGGTGTTCTGAGCTACCAACTAAAGGGATGAGTACAGACGCCAGATATTTGGAAACATTGTAAGTGACAGAGTTAATCATGCTAACAATAGGTCTTAAAGGTACACCTTGTTTGTGGATTTTAGGTAAACCATACAGACTAGGTGTGGCCTCCCCTGGGTACAGTCTGTGGTACAGAAAACGGTCAATAGCCTTGTCCTGCTCCAAAATTTTCAGGCAATCTATTAACTTTTTCTTGTAACCACTTCCTGGATCTCTTTTCAGAGGTTCATAAGTGTTTACGTCACTAAGGAGTGTCATAACTTTCTCATGATAGTCTTTCTGGTTCAAAATCACTGTGCACCTTCCTTTGTCTGCTGGAAGAATGATGATGTTTTTGTCCTTGCTAAGAGTGGTGAGTGCGTCCCTCTCCTCTCTACCGATGTTGGAAGGTGGTGGTTTGGCATTGCTGAGGCAGGATGAAACTTTGATTCTGAGCTGTTCTGCTTCAGCCTCTTTCATTTTGTTGTTGCGGATGGCTGACTCAGTAGCTGTGATCATCTCCACCAGAGGAATTCTACTTGGTGCAACCGAGCATGCATCAGGATATTGATCTATATTCTTTTTTTTCTTTAATGTTAATAAGGACACAATGTTAGGTAGAGGTGTACTTATAACAATTTTATAGACACTATTTACAGTCGCCGCGAAGAGTTGTGGGGGGGGGGGGGGTGAAATGTTTACTTCTGCCTGGGGGGGTGGCATAAGAGAAAATAATTG